CGTCGACAATATGTAAATGAATGGGTGTGGCTATGTTCCAGTAAAACTTTATTTATAAAATCAAGCGTTGGGTTGGATTTGGCTCGAGCACTAGAGCTTGTTGAAGTCTGCTCTAAATCCATCTTTTTTTGTTTGAAATATTTAATTTCCTCAGACTACATTTGTTGAAAAGACTGTCCTTTCCCCGTTTGAATTCCCTTGGGACCTTGGTGAACATCAGTTGATCATAAACAGAAGGGTCTTGGACCCCGTGGGTTCCACCTTGGAGGGAGGTCACCGCATGTCTTCCGCAGCAGCCCTGGTCTCCAGGATCCCACCTGCCGTCTCTGCAGGGCGTTGCCTGGTTCCGCCCTCTTGCCCTCCTGCACTCCACCCCGGCCATCTCTTTTGTCCTCATTTGTGAGCTGTTGACCTCCGGGTTTTAAGCACCCAGACCATAGGTGTCCCCATGCTGCTGGCCATGTCCGCCTGCAAGTCTCCTGGGCGCCTGTGTTTCACTGCATCCCCCCACTGCCTCTGCCACTCTCCCTGTTCCTGACGTGTGAAGATCCATCCAGCTGGTCCCCACGCAGGAAGCTGATCCCACGTGCCCTTTTTCTCTGCATCTAATGGCAACTCTTGTGTCTTCCCTTCCAGCTGCTTCTGTTCCATCCTCTCCTTTTTACCCTCAGGAACTCTTGGTCTCAGTCAGGCCCGCCCCACCTTCCCCTTGCCCGTCTGATAAGTTGCTCTTTCTCCCAACAGGCTTGCCTGCCACAAATCTGTACTTCCTGGCGCTAGCAGGGTAATGTGTTTTTAAAAGGTACATTTTACTTTTGAGCAGCTCTCAGGCAGTGGGGATAAAGTTCACACAGTCCCAGTGGAGGTCCCTCCCTTCCAGGCCCAGCGGCCTCGCTCTCAGAGACGGCCCCCCCCAGCTGGTGGTGTCGGTGATCATTCAGGGTCAAAGCTCAGGTGCGACCCACTTACTTCCCACCCATCGCGCTTCCCGCTGTCTCCAGGTTCAATGCAGATTCCTGGGCCTGGCTCCTGAGGCCCTCTGTGTGCTGGTGCCACCTTCTCCTGTCGCCGCCCGTCCCTGGGGGAGGACACGTGCTGCCATGCTGTTTCGAGCTGGGCTCCTCTGTCTGCAGGGCTCTCTCTCCCTTCCTTGGCTAAATTCCTCCTTGGCCTTGCGACCAGTTCAGGGGTTCCCTCTGTGCTGTCGCTGGTCACCGTCCTGGGTGGGGGGAGCTCTGCCCCGTGAGCAGGACCTTGTCTCCTGGTCTGTGGCCCCAGCATGTGACCCGGAACTGGGCTCAAGTCAGCAAGATCCTCGTTGGGCAGAGGTTTAAGCTACTGGCTCCATATTTCTTGGATGAAACCATCAGCCCAGAAACTTTGTGGTATTAATCGACAGCATTTAAAACTTGGAGGCTTTACATCAATTCAATTTTTAGTTTTTGGGGGGAAAAGAATTGAAAGTCTGGTCCACGTTTCCGTGTGGCGGCCCTTGGCTGGAGCTATGAAGTCGCCGCCCTCTCTGGGGCTTTGCTGTCTCCTGTCCTCGCCACGTTGTCCTGGCACCGCTGCTTTGCTGCCAGGCCCGCCTCATTTGTTTTTGTCACCTGCCTGGCCCCGTGGGCGTCAGTGTTTGCCACCTTTTTGCGGGGGCCTCCAGGACTCTTCTTGTCCAGATACTCGGCTTTAAATCTGTGGATCTAATTTCAGCTCACAGAAAACTGAAGGACTAGCCAGCAAGATCTCCACAGCAACAGCCACAGGCAAAGCAGAGGAATCTTCTTAGAGTCACACGAGGGCAGCGCCTCCCCGGGGTCAGGTGTCTGGGCCCCCGGCTGGTCCGGAACATGCCGGTGCTCAGCCCGCGCGCGGGAGCCGTGGGCCAGGAAGCGCGAGAGCAGCAGGCTGCGCTCAGCGGGTGCTCGGAAGGCGGCGCCTGAGTGGCCGCAGTGGTGGCCGTGCAGGCCTAGCTGGCTGCTGACTCGGGCCAGCGCCTTCCCTCGCCCTTGGGTCACTTTTGGGCTTGGGATCTCGGTGTGCCTCTCCGGCCTGGTCATCTGGTGCAGCCTCCCTCTCACACACGCCTTTGTCAGGCCCTCGGACAGGCCAGACTCGGCCCCTCTCAGAGGCTTTGCACTCATCCTCCCCTCTGCTCAGAAGTCGATCCTTTGTTCTTGGATCTCAAGATGTGCTTGTGGCGGGGCCTCCTCCCTCCAGGGCGGTGGTCTCCTGTTAGTGCCATCTCCTCTGAGGGGTCTTCCTGCCACCCCATGTGCACCCGGCCCTGCCGGACTGTATTTTATTCTTTCCCAGCGCTTAACCACTAACATGCTTCACAGATTTTAAAGACACATATTTTTGAAATAGAGATCCCCTGTAATATTGATAGGTGGAAAAATCCACCTCTAACCCTTTACCATTAGTCCCCGTTTCCCCCCTCCCCCAAACCCAAGGCAGCCAATCTAGTTTCTGTCTCTAGAGATTTGCGTGTTCTGGACGTTTCACATATGTGGGGTTATACAGTATGCGGCCTTTTGTGTCTGGCTTCCTTCACTGAGCAAGATGGTTTTGGGTTCGTCATGGTGTGGCCTGTGTCAGTAGTTCATCCCTTTTTATGGCTAATATTCCATTATTTTTATTCACCTACCCGTCAGTTGATGGATATTTGGGTTGTTTCCACCTTTGGCCATTACAGATAATGCTGATGTGAATGTGCACGTGCAACTCGCTGTGAATGTGTATTTGCATTTCTCTTGAGTGGGTACCCGGGAGTGGAATTGCTGGGCCTAATGGTGACTCTGTATTGAACTTTTGCGGAACTTCCAGACTGTTCTCCACTGTGGCTGCGCCATTTATTTGCCCCCAGCAGTGTATTAGGGTTCCAGCCTCTCCATGTCCTTGCCAGTACTTGTCACGATCTGACTTCTTGATTATAGACGTTCTAGTGGGTGTGAAGTGGTGTCTCATTGTGGTGTGAATTTGCATTTCTCTCATGACTAAGGATATTGAGCATCTTTTCATTTGCTTATTGGCCATTTGTGTATCTTCTTTGGAGAAATGGCTATTCTGATTCTTTGCCCATTTTTAAATTCGGTTATTTTTCTTTGTATTATTGAGTTGTGGGAGTTCTTTGTATATTCTAGATGCATGTCCCTTGTCAGATATATGATTTGCAGGTTCTGTGGGTTGTCTTTTCAGCTTACTTGATTGTGTCTTTTGAAAAACAAAACTCTAATTTTGATGAAGTTTAGTATATGTTTTCTCTTTGATTGCTCATGCTGTTGGTGGCATATCTACACGTTCACTGCCAAACCCAAGGTCAAAAAGATTTACGCCTGCGTTTTCTTCCAAGAGTTTCATTGTTTTAACTCCTGCCTTTAGGTCTCTGATCCCTTTTGAGTCAGATTTTGTATATGGTGTGAAGCAGGGGTCTAACTTCCTCCTTTTGCACGTGGATGTCCAGCTCTCCCAGCACCCTTTGTTGAAGAGACTATTCTTTCCCCATTAAATGGCCCTGGCACCCTTGTCAGTCAGCGGAGCACAGATATATAGGTTTATTTCTGGGTTCTCAATTCTCTTCCACTGCTGTGTGTGCTTGGTCTTTTCTTGTTCTGTAATCATTAATTAGCTATTTGATTTGTATCTGTCTTAAATACTAGAGGGACTCAATTATTATTATTATAATCTTTACTTGCTAAAAGAAATGTTCATGGTAAAAAACTGAAACACAGAAGTGCCGAAAGTGAACGTCCTGGCCCGGCCGCTCCTGTCCCGTGTGCAGGACACGCCCCAGGACGTCTGGTGTGTGCTCCGAGTGGATGCGTACATGGGGAATGTGTGTGTGCCAAGGTCAACGTGTATATATCGCAGGTCTGCGTCTTTATAATTGTGTATCTGTTTTACAAAGTCGAGATACAAAGTGTCCTCTGACTCTCCCTGGTCAGCGGTGGCATCCTTCCATGGCAGGCACATGTCTTAACCTGTCCTTTCTCGACAATTCCGCGGTGTTTCATAGGAGGCGCCCCATCATTTCTCTCACCACTGCCTGTCGTTGCTATTATGTTGTTTCCTTTTCCTGTGCGAGTCCAGCGCTGCTGTGCGCACGTGGGAGCACTTTCCTCGCCTGGATCCCTGAAGTGGAGCTGCGGATGGTGGACTTTGTCCTCAAGGCATCTTAACATCTCCCCTCGCTGTGCTTTGTGATGCCTTGCACATACTGGGCACTTAATAAATATTTATTGATGTAAACTCTTAGGGGTTGTTATTCTGGACTCATCCCTCGCTGGCTGTTGCATTTCAGTCAGGTGTTTCATGACACCCTCTTACCCATTTCACTTCCTCTATGATGAGGGAAAGATTTGATTATCCGGTCATCACTGGGGGAGCCAGGGTGAAATGAGTCAGGCCGTGCTGGATTTTCTGCCGTGACTGTGGCCCTGGTGGGACTCAGACGGGAGGCAGAGGTGGCCCCGGCCCTCAGGGTATTTACAGACCATTAGATGAGGCCAGTAGAATGTGAGGCACTTCCTAAGAGGTGCGCCTGTTGTAACAGGGGAAGGATTGGGAGAAATGGTCCTTAACTTGGGTGCTGTCTGGAAGAGCCCACCGTAGAGGGACCGTGGGACGCCCACAGTGAAGGGTGAGGTTTGCACAGCTGGAGGCGTCCACCCTGTGTACAGGGTGGGGCTGCAGTGGTTCTCAGCAGAATGGATTCAGGGCAGGAGAGAAGGGGAACTTGGGGTCCCCTGAGCGTGTGGGAGCAGAAGGTGCAGCCGGGAAGCCAGTGGGGGACACGCTGTGGCCCGTGGAGCCCAGGCTGGGCGTGGCGTTGACCTGGCGGGTGCCAGGCCAGCACGAGAGGTTTCTGTGTGGAATTCCTTACGTTATTGGAGTTGGTCTTGCAGAGTTAGTCTGCTCAGAAATCTGGGGCATGGGTAGAGGGGAGTCTTCACTTCCAGAGGGTTCTGTCATTTAACTGTTCCCCTCAATCCTTCCCACAGCTGTCTGAAAATGTGGTCAACCGCATGAAAGATCCCGGCCAGCCTTCCAGAGTGGGGCCGCTGACCCCTGCAGCTGCTGCCCTTGTCTCCTCTGAAGGCCGGGAGAAAGGTAGGCCGGGTGGCAGTTCTGCGCGGGGATGGAGCGGGCACTCCTCCTGGAGATGAGTTGCTGGCTGAGCCCGCGGGCAGTGCATGACGTGAGCGCTTCCCACGAGAGAGTGGCCCCCGAACCGGGCGCTGTCCTGTTCAAGGACTGCAGCGCCGTGTAGTCAGAGCCTCTGTGACCATGACCAGGGCCGGAAGTTCCCCACTGTTCCAGCTTCTCCGCACGTAAGCAGTGAGTGGGTGACCTTGGCGCCAGCCCCAGAGCTCTGACCTACCCTCATGCTCCGGGGTCCTGGCCCACCTCCTGGGACGGTGCTCGTGGGGCTTCCAGGAGGGTCGCCACCCCGTGCCCCCAGCTCCTTCCCCAGCTCGCTGCGGAGCTGCTGCCTGAGCCAGACTGGAAGCGCTTTTGTTCCCCACCGTCATGTCCATCACAGGTGAAGAAACCTGTGCTTTTCTCCAAGTGACTCCTGTTAACAAACACAAAGGAACACTAGAGTTTGAGTGGAGAATGTATGGTGCAGAAATATTAAGATACTACAAACAAGAAAAGTCCTCGTGGCAGCTGATTAATGAGAGGAGCTCGTTGATGAGAATCTGGGTCCCCCTGCTGTAACCTAAGGTGTGAGTTGTACGCTGACGGGCTGGAGGGGCCTGGCCGTGCGGGGGCATGGATGCCGTCCCGACCCGCAGTGAGTGACTGCGGCCTCACATTGGAGCTGTCTTCTCTGCCCATCGGCCCCGTTTGGGTGCAAGCGCGTAGGAGGCCGCACCTTCCTTGTCCGCCCGGCATGTCCTGAGTGCCGGCCAGGGATGGGGTCACGAGGCGCGCGCTGGCACATGCAGGCAGGGAGACAGGGAGCCTCCCCCAAGGCAGCCCAGCTCCCGTCAGGAGCCGCGTGTGCAAGCCTGTGGCTTACAGTGTCACGCGACAGTGCGACACGCCGCAGAAGCCCACAGAAGACGCCCTCGTCCTCTTCCGGCGGGTCATCCTCACCGTCTCTCCAGCCGGCTGGAGAGAGGGTTGAAGAGCCCTCACGTGCGTGAGTGAGCTGTAGGAGGGGGAGAGGCGGAAGGGACGCAGAGGGTGAAAATGGCTGAAATACGTCAGGCCACGTCAGGTTCAGCCTTGGAAGAGAAAAGAAGCATTTGTTTCAGTCTTGCTATGTTTGAGTAGTTTAAAAAGCAGGAAGAGTGGTTCATCTATCCTTCAGTTTTGGTTTAACAAAGTATTTTGCTGTTTGAGGGTGAGTGAGTTTGGAGGTTCTGAGGGCTGGATTTGTCAGCATGGGCGGAATGCCCTGAAGTGGACGAATTTTAAAATACTTTTACTTTTAAAATCCAGTGTCTGCTTTTACTTTAGTGATAGAACAAGATTAGAAAAAGAAGTTAAAATTAAACCCTTGTGCCAAACCGTACGCCAGATGCGTGTCAGAGGAAGTCTCTGCAGTCATGCAGCTAGAGCGGCAGGCAGCCTCTTAACCCCGTGTCAGGCGGAGAGGCCTTAAATGAGGAGGAGGAGTGGGGGCTGTGACTGAACGATTGGAGACAGTTTAGAAGAAATGAATGAACAGAGAGTGACAGACTAGGGAAGTAGGGCCGACAGGCAGGGAGCAGTGTTCACATGTGAAGAGTCCTTGAAGCCCTCTGACGGCTGCGTGGAGCATGTGTACAAACGGTCAGAGAGGTGACGAGAACCAGCTCCACGGAGAGTTGACACGCTTGAGCCTGCAGGCTGCCGCGGAGCGTGGGCGCGGGGGTCCGGCCACGGGCTCTGCGGTGGGTGCACGCGTTACTTTTGTAGTCGTGAAAAAGGAAAACTGTATGGAAAGCAGAAATAAACGTGATAGACCTTACGTCACTAGAGTTGTTGTAAGTCAGGCCCTAAGCCCAGGGAGCGTTCACATCACATCCACACCAGGCAGCGGTGCCTCCTGCACGTTCCCGGCCGAGGACCTGGTGCGGCCCCGAGGGCTGCCCTCCCCGGCCCAGCGCGCCCGCCCGGCCTTCCGGGAGGGGCGTGGGCCTGGGTGAGTCCCGGGGTGCTGTGCGCGGCGAGGGCCCTTCCGGAGGAGCTGAGCCCACCAGCCTCCGAGGTCGGCAGCTGCAAAGGTCTTGGGAGAAGCACCCGCTCCTGTCTGCCTCCCAAAGCCTGGTTCTCCGGCCGGGTCTCGTGTGGCCCGAGTGGCTGAGCGTGGAGGCCTGCGATGGGGTGGAGGGCATGTGACCGAGGCCTCAGCGGAGCGGGGACGCTGAAGCCTGGGCTAGTGGGGGACAGAACCTCAGCGTCACTGCGCGGTGAGAGAGCAGAGTGAATTGGGGTTTGCTCGGAGGCCCCCACGCCCTCGGCCCCGGGACGCCAGACCCACCGCGACAGCTTAAAGGGCCCAGTGATACTGGAGGTGAAGCAGCTCAAAGGTTACATAGGTAGGTGGGGCGTTGGCCACATTCAGGATCGGAACCCTACAGAAAGGGCTCTGAGAGAAACCAGGCGTGAGGAGTCTCCCCCCACGGCCCCCGCCCTGCCAAGCCAGCCGACACCCCGGGGCTGTGCTCTCAGCTCGCACAGAGCAGAGCTTCCCTCAGCCAGTCTGGCCTCTGGGGAGGGTGACCTGGAGTCCCAGTGGCCGCACAGGGAGGAAGGGGGATTTGGATCACCGCACTCAGGTGTCCACGCTGACCCGGCAACCAAGCCGTCCTATGCAGGAGACGGGCAGAGGGGCCTTCGGGCCGCCCCTCTCCTAACCACAGAGCAAGGCTGTGTTCTGTGTCTGCCTGCGGCACGTCCATCCATGGGGTGACGTCCTGGGCCCTTTCCTGGGTGACACTGTGCCTCTGTCCGTCCGTGGGTTGCTGCTGACGGACTGACCTTTTCTTCTCCCCGTTTGCAGAGTCTAAATCACCCAGGCCGGAGAGTGGCGGTGGCCGGCGGCCCTCGGGGGCGGAGGTGGATGTCCTCGAGAGGTAAGCCGAGGGCCCACTCGCCCCGGCCCTGCGCCCCGGCCCAGTGCACCTTCCTCACCGGCTACCTTCTCCTCCTAAAGGCCGGAGTGTTCGCGTCACGAATGCCATCTTATGTAGGTGGGATGCCAAGCCTGTGATTTAGGTGGCACCAGTCCCAGTGCTCAGATGAAGACACTCCTGGCTGTGGGAGGGCCAGGACCAAATGGCCGAGTGACCGCGCTGCTAGCCTGGCGCGTGCCGCTGTGTTTGCAGGAGCTGCGTCCGTGGACTGGCTCCAGGGTGTGGGTGGCCTCTCCCAGCACAGGCCACAGCCCAAGAGCTTCTCTGCCCAGGGGCTGGTAGGCCAGTGGCCGGGCCCAGAGGTCCCCAGAGTGCACCGTGAGTCTCCAGGCCTCGGGGAAGGCGGAGCTGAGCGCCCCTCTCCCTGGGGTGTGGTCCGCGGGGCCCGGCGTGGAGTTGTCACAGCGCTGACTCAGTGAGCTGTCGGCTGGTACTGAGGGACCTCGTCTGCAGCCTCCAGGCCGTGGCCTCTGTAACAGGGACTCAGATTAGCTTAGGGGCCCCCGGTCAACCACGGCTGGACGGCTCCCTCTGCAGGTCAGCCCAGCCATGGCTGTTCCGTGGTCAGGGGTCAAGACCCCACCTTCTGAGAATTTCCAGTCCTTAATCCCAAGAGGTCTCCCCAAAATAAATAACCAGAACCTTTTTTAAAAAAATGCTTTTAAACATTTTAAAAACGTTGAAGTAACACATGCTAATGGAAGACTTAGGATGTTATATATGAAAGGAAAAACCCGCCCATGGATTCATCATCCCTTGTTAATATTTTGGACTCTTTCTTTCAAATGTCTTCTTTCTTCTAGTTTAGGGTTATTTTTTCAAAGTCATGTGAACTTCTGTATCTTGCTGTTTCTACCAGTCTTCTAATTATCTTCCATCTGTTGCACCTCGTCACAAGCGTTTTTATTGCTGAAGGTGCCGTAGGTGGGTGCTCAGTTTTAAAGCAGCGCGTGGCACGGTGGGCAGCGTGGCGCCGAGGGCCTTGCGTCTGTCACGTGCCCCCAGGCCGACCTGCTGCGGCCCCTTCACTGTGTGCGTTTTCTACACCCTAATAAGTAACACTTCTGGTCTCAGGGCCAGTAACTTTTTTCTCTCTCTAGGATGATTTTATTAGGAAGACTGGAAACAGGTCCAAGGATAGGGACGCGTTCAGGATGGAGAGTGGAATGTTCAAAAGCAAGGCTGCTGCTTCTGAACCTTCCCGCCCGCAGGCGGGGGAGGTGGGCTCACCCCGGCCCCATCCCGCTATAGGAGCGGCTCCAGTGAGGGTTGATCCCGCGCCCCGCCCCGAGGATCTCTCATTTGGCGTTTGGCTGTCTGATTCCTCACCTGGTTGTCAGGCCTTCTGCTCCCAATCTGTATTGTTCTGGCTGAGAAAGTGTCACACTGTCCCTGCACACGCCACTCCCAGGGGACTGTCACTGGTGTCTGACCCTCTCTGGCGCCACAGGGTTCCACCAGCCTTCACGTCCCTGGCCCCTGGCAGATGAAACGAGCTGCGTCTGCATCTGCGTCTCCTGTCTCTCCCTGGCCCAGGTGTGACAGGGGGCAGGCTGTGGTCCAGGACAAGCTGCTCCAGGTGGCGACGAGGGATACAGAGGTGGCTGCCAAGCCCCGGAGCGCGTCCCTGCGGCAGGGGGAGGGCGGCATGGACCCGGAGACACATTGGTCCGCCCAGCTGGTGAGTGTGGGTCCCTGGCTGGCCTCCTGGCTCAGTGGCTCTGGGAAATAGAGGTTGGCCCTGGAACCTGATGGGTCCAAAGTCCCAGCTTCTCCTCTGTGGAAAGGGTGTCTTTCTAGGGACCAGGAGCAGGGGGGGTGGTTCTTATAGCCCCGGCTCTGTCATTGATTTGCTTTGTGGCCTGTGGCCTCAGGTCTGCACAGTGAGAGCTGGATCATTGGGTGCTGGGTCCCGGAACCTCGTAGGTGTAAGTGCTGTGAGGACATGTGTTCCAGGAGGGTGCAGAGGGAGAGTACTGTGGGCTTGGGGCCTTGCAACAAGCCAGAAACAGAAGGAGAAGTCACCCTCGGTGCGGAGCCGAGCTGTCTGCCCACTGGCTGGGGCGCATCCTCCGGCCCCAGGGAGCGTCTCGGACTGTCCTGGTGGTCACACTCGGGCTTGCCTGCGGCTCGAGAGGAGGTGGTGAGTCCGGGCCCAGCAGTGCTGGCAGATCGCAGAAGCACACTGCGTTGGCTGTTGCCGTTCTGGGTACATTTAACCGATGGGAGGTACCATCAGGGTCTTTCAGCTGTGGGTGCAGGCTGCGTGTCACAGCAAGAGAGGTCACAGTGCCCCAGGGACCACCACGTCATCACGGCCCGGGTACCCTCTCCTGCGGACACAGTCTCACTCAGCAGCAGGAGGAGGATGTTCCAGAAGCCCCAGCACAAGTCCTCTGACATCCCTCTGCCTGGACGGCACCAGGGCCTGTGGCTGGGCCAGCCCTCGGCACAGGGAACCGGGAGGGCTCCATTGGCTGGAGCTGGGGCTCTTTTCTAATCACGTTTGCGGGGAGGTGGGGGTGGGCGTCCGGAGAGAGCTAGGACTGTCAGGTAGTATTAATTCTCTCAGTGGTGGAGTGTGGGGTGTTCCCACACGTCCAAGGAATTCTCCACACCAGCCGCGTGTCCTACAGTTCAGCTCAGTTGTGACACTGTCTACCTGTGGTGGCATCGGACCCCCAGGTTAAGGGCTTGGTCCCACCGGGCTGCCCCGCCCCGACCTCTCTCCCAGCTTCAGATGCCAGTTGAAGCCAGGTTGTCACGTGTGCTTCTGACCCACCGGCTGCAGATGAGAGGTTCCGTTCCCCCCCTCCTCAGGTTGGAGTAACTTGCTAGAGCCGCTCAGAGAACTCAGAGGAACGCTTGACTTACTAGATCGTAGGCTTCTGATAAGAGGCGTGGCTCAGGAACAGCCACATGGAAGAGACGCTCCGGGGAGGGTGTGGGGAAGGGCCCCGAGCTTCCACGCCCCTCCCCGCACCCCCCCTCCCCAGCCTCCACGCCTTCCCAGCCTGGGCGCTCTCTGAACCCGCTCCTTCAGGGTTTCTATGGAGCGTTCCTTACGCGGCCGTGACTGACTACATCACGGCCACTGGTGACTGATTCCGCCTCCAGCCCCCCTGCCCTGCCGGAAGGTCAGGGGCTGGGACCCACGTTCCAGGCCTCTGATCCCACGGTGGCTCCACTGGCATCCAGCCCCATCCTTGGGTGGTTTCCCAGAGTCAGCTCATCAACGTAAGGAAAGACACCTTCATCCCTCTCAGCAGAGGAAATTCCAAGGGTTTTGGGAGCTCCGTGCCAGGAACAGTGGGCAAAGACCAAATACGTCTTCCTTGTTATAAACCATGATGTCATGTCAGGAATGGGGTGGGGAACAGCTGTAGCAGCATCTGACACCACATGCTCCAGAGGCCACGGCCGGGACACCAGGAGCTCACCGAGCTCCACAGAAGGAAGCTGGATGGTGTGAGGGCACCGATTGGACGCCCCCTCCCGGGAGGGAGGGCCTCTATCCAGACGTGCAGATCATGCGGCAGGCATGTGAGACACGCAGGTTGAACTGGGCCCTCGGGAAATAGCAACAATGTAGGATCCTCGCCTCTGGGAAACTTTCAGTCTAGTGGGAAGACAGACTTGAACCAGAAACTGAAAACGGCCAAACTGTTACAGTGAATGTGAGACGGAGGCAAAGAGAATATGCCTGGGATGCAGAGCCCGTGGTGTCGGCCGAGGGAGCAGCTGGGCTGAGCCGGGCGGGCGGGAGGCGGCACTGGACGTGGTGAGGATGAGCGAGCCGCGTGCACGCACCGCAGGAGGCCGTGGACCAGGGGCCTGCCCAGCGACGCTGAAACTGAGACGGAGCCCCAGGAGCTGTAGGGATGGGTGCTGTGCTCTGACCTGTGGCCGCCTGGTGGAGAATCGTGATGCAGAGACACCCCTGGTGAGGACAGGCAGGCAGCCCGACAACCTGGTGGGAAGGACCCTGGCCGGGGACGTGCAGGGTTAATCGGTCTGGATGGAGCAAAAGCGTTGGCGCCTGGGACAGTTACCCAGTAGCCACGGCAGTCTGCAGGGGTGGACTGTTACCTGGAATGTGGTCACCACAGCAAAGGGATTCACAGCCTCCCTCCCTCCTGCCTCCGGTCCAGGTGTGGGTTTCTTAGCAGGAAGGGTATCTTTAGAGGGAAGAAAACACATCCTGCCTGGATTCGCCCGGACGTCTGGGGGGACCGTGCCCTCTGCCAGAGCTCTGAGTCCCCGCGGGGCCCGTGGCTGCCTTCGCATTCCAGGTGTCCATGACTCCTCGTTGGGGCCTTGCTTTTGATCAGTGCCCACTTGCTCGTGCAGTTGGCGCCGCCATTCCCTTTTAGGAACTTACCTGCTTCCTGTCGTGTGTCCCTGGGTGGGATTGCAGCGGCCTC